GCCAAACTGGCCTTGAACTCACAACAATCCTCCTGCTTCAGCCTCCTGAGTGCTGGGGTTACAGGTGTGAACCACCGTGCCTGGCATGATTTTCAAATACTAACCTTAGATTTTTGGGTACACCCCAATTGGTCACAGTGTGCTGTGCCTCTTTACAGATTGTTGGATTTGTTTTTTGGTATTTTTTTTAAAGAAGTTTTTTAAAAAAAGAAGAAGTTTTGGTCACAAGTAATAGTGATATCCAATTTTGTTGTGATATCTTTGTCTCATTTTGATACCAAACTAATGATTGTCTCATATGGATTAGTTAGGAAGTGTTTTTTTTCCTTCCTCTTTTTCTTCTCTCTTCTCATAGCACTCATATAGATCTATGCTATTTTTTTCTAAAATGATTGATCTTTGCTGGTGCTATGTGGCTCTGGAGTTTTCTTGTGAAAGGTTCTAAGTTATAAATTCAATTGCTTTAATACATAGTCAAATCAATGCTATTAATGTTAAATTTAGGCTTAAATTTAAATGTTGTAGTATTAAAACTATTGCCAGGCATAGTGGCACATGTGTGTAATCCCAGCATTCAGGAGGCTGAGGCAGGAGCATCGCTGTGAGTTTGAGACCAGCCTGGGCTACAAAGTGAGCTCAAGGCCAGCCTGAACTGCATAGTGAGACCCTGTCTCAAAAAAGCAAAAAAAAAAAAAAGGAAAATATTATTGGATGCCTACCATGTGAAGAGTGTTCTGCAGATGAAAAAAGCATATTTTCTGGCTCTTTGAAGCTTATCCCTTAATAGAAGATGTTTAAAACCCAGTAACACATAAGGCACTGTTATGAAAAAAGATTTCCTGCCTCTGTGGAGCTTATACTTTAGCAGAAGACGTTTGAAACACAGTAACACATAAGGTACAACAAGATTGATCAGAATGGAAGTTAGTGCAAGCGTTAGAAAAAAATTATTTACTGTACCTAAGAAAGTCACAGGGAAAGTGTAATTCAAGATGATATATATATATGAAAGTGTAATGGGGCTGGGGATCTAGCTCAGTGGCGCAGTGCCTGCCTGGCAAGTGTCAGGTCCTGAGTTCAATTCCCGGTTTAAAAAAAAAAGTGTAAATTTACCAAACTGACAGGCCAGAGGGAAGTGCTTCAGGCAGAAGGTTTAACGCTTGCAAAGGGATGAAGACTCAGGGAACCAGAAGTAGTTGAAGATTACTGAAATTTTAAGTGAAAGGTTGGAAGTCATAGAGATAAATCTGGACAAGGTCTGGACTTCACAGTAAGCTAGCCTAGATAAGGAAGGGAGTTTTTTTTTTTTTTTTTTAGGTTAAGAGTATGAAAATTTATTGGAGAAAAGAAATAGGGGGCTGGGTGTAGCACACACGTGTAATCCCAGCACTTGGAAGGCTGAGGCAGGAGGACTGCTATGAGTTTGAGGCCTGCCTGGGCTACAAAGTGAGCTCAAGGCTGGCCTGAACTGCATAGTGAAACCTTGTCTCAAAAAGGAAAAAAAAAAAAAAAAAAAGAAATGGGGAATAGGAATGAGGGGCAGAAATGAGGAGTAGGAATAGCTCCTGAGAGATAGGAGGGGTCCCAATGCGTTGCCCAGAAAGCAAGTTTTAAACCTTGCAACAGTTTGAATTTAACTTACAGGTCTTGGGAAGTCATTGAGGAATTCTGGGCAGAGGAGTAATCTGATGCAGATTTTGGTATATGGTAGATTGGACAAGGACTAGAGTGGAGGTGTGGTACGTGGCCAGGAGAGCAAGTTCAGGAGACAGATGATAAAATATTTATGTTATAGAATGAGGAGTAAAATGGCCCTATGTTTGCCCACTTGATGGTCACTGATGTGATTATTATGGGGTAGGAGAAAAGAGAGCAGTAAATTAAGAATCAAAAAGACTAGCATTGAAACAGTGAGGCAGTAAGTATGAACTACGTTTAATAGGAGAACTTCAAATGTATATGAAGTGATAAGATAGACAAGAGAAATTTAAAGTTGTCCTAAGAGATAATGAGACAAGGGCAATGTAAATTTATGAAGAGAAAGAGGGAAAATAAGGAGACTTTTTTTAAATATGGAAAGAACCTGGATATGCCTCTGTGCTGAGGAAAGGGGTGAATGGAAAATAGGAGTTTTAAAATATGGAGAAGAAAGGAGATTATGGATGGAGGCAGGTCCCTGAATAGGTTGGGGAGCAGAGAATCTCGGCACACACAAGTGGAGAAAAGGAAAATAGGTGGAGGAAGATCCAGACAGGATGATCAATAGCGTGGCATCAAATTGAGAGAATTCAGACAAACATTGTTTTCCTAAGGAAATAGTAGGTAAGGTGGTTTGCCTGTCAGAGGAAGAACAGAAAGCTTAAAGTTGAACGTGTGGGAAGAGCAGCAATGTTTGAAACTGTTGAAGGGAATTTATGGTTTATATCTAGACGTCCCCCAAGTGTCTCATGCACCCGTAGGTGGGGGTTTGGAAGGTGATTGGGTTATGGAGCTTGTAGCTGACTTGCTGTTTGGAAGTGGGGTCTGAAGAGGTGGGTCACTGGGGCATGCATGACCCACAAGGGTAGAGCCCTCCCTTCCCAGCACCTACCCCACTCTCTGCTTGCTGACCTCCATGTGAGCAGCTTTCCTCTAACCAGGGCCTTCTTCTACATAGTTTCTGCCTGGAACCTACAGAGCATTGATTATTAACTAAAATAAAACTTCTCTTTTAAGTTGTGGGTATCAGGTATTTTGCCCTAACGATGAGGAAAGTTGCTAAGACAGGAATGAGAATAAAAATCAGCAATGCCAAATCCGGGTGTTAATGGCAAAGCTGGGACTCAAATCCATAAAATTCTATGCACACCAATCTCTAGAATTGTGTGATTCGCTCTTAGGGGCATAATAGAGGTAAATGGCTTATACATGCTTAAGGTCTTTTGGGTTGGCTTTGATAGAAAAGGAAGAATGAAGGCAAGAGCTGAAACAAAGAAGAGGAATAAAGAAGATAATGTGTTCAAGATTTCAGAAACGGAGCTATTTTGGGTGATGTAGAAGTCACGTGAAGGGCAAGGAGGTGAGATGGGGTGGAGGTAAAGATGGTTTAGAGGTCAGGCAAATCATATGAGCTTGCAGATCTCTGTGATAGCAAGATTTGACAATGAGAGGATGTTATGGTTTCTATCTAGATGTTTCCCCAAAGCTTCATGCACTCATAGATAGGGCTTTTGGGAGATGACCAGATTTTGGATGTATGATACTCATCAGTGGAGTCATCTAGCTAAAAGTGCTATTGGGAGGTAAAGTTGGAGAGGCTGGGTCCCTCCTTCCTTGATCTCTACTCCCCACTGCCAGGTCATGAGCTGTTTCTCCTCTGCCATGCCACCCTGTCTTGCAACCAGGGGACTACAGACCAAAACTTCTATAAACTGTGAGCCATAATAACATTTCCTTCCTTAATTGTGGGTGTTTGAATATTGTGTCCCAGGGATGAAGTAACTGAGTCATAGGAAGAATGTGAAATGGTAAGAAAATGAACAAGAGTCCTACAGTGCTGCTGACACATAAGGGGGAGAAAGGGGAAACAGTGTGGTACAGTCACATCATCTAGGTTTCAGCTGAGATCGCAGAGTCAGAAACAGACCACTTTTCTTGCCCTTTTTCCACGTTTTCTGTGAAGATATTAGTTAAAAGGCCGGGGGTTTAGCTCAGTGGCACAAGGGCCTGCCTGGCAAGTGCAAGGCCCTGAGTTTAATTCCCAGTACAAAAAAAAATATTAGTTATATATACATACAAGTGTATATATATATATTCTCTTCATAAAGTTTTATTTTTTTCTTCATAAAGTTTTAAAAAGTGGAATACATAGGGTAGAAAAATAATGGTTGTTCTCATCCCAAGCACATATGTTTTGAGACCATTTTTTAGTGCACTTACATGTACAAAGAATATTTCCTTTAGTTTTGGCATAAATTGATAATGCTGTGTTTTTTTGCAGTTGGTTGTTTGTTTTAATTGTGACTCTTTCAGTGGCCTGGTGTTCATATGTGATCTCTGCCTCTAGTGTAAATCATCACATAGTAATAGATATGCCATTAATTATTTCCTATTCATAGATATTGATGTTTCCATTTTTTCATGATTACAAACAGTACCATGTCATTATTGTACATACTTTTTGTGCCTATATTCTGTAAAATAACTATTGATGAAAATTTTATTTAATTAAATTAATTAATTAATTTTTCTTGGTTTTTTTTTTCCCAGTACCGGGAATCGAACTCATGACCTTGCGCTTGCCAGGCAGGCGCTGTGCTGGTGAGCTAAATCCCCAGCCCCTATTGATGAAAATTTTAAATTGAAGCTTATTTTGATCAATTCTGCTAAATTTTCCCTCAAAGTACTAGACTAACTCACATTTTTGTCAATAATATTTGAGAGTAGCAAATCTCCACCTTTGTAACAGCAATACATATAATTCCAATATGTAATATAATTCCAAAATGTTGTAATTTTAAGATATCACTTCCCAAGGAAGAGGTATAATTGAACCAGTCAATATAATGAAATAACAAAGGCTGCTACTAGTGTAGTGAGCTAAAATGAGTTACATTGTATTTTGGTTTTGCCACTTGCCTATGTGCTAATTAAGTCATTTTTAGTTACAGTGTTGCGGTAAGTTCATGTCTGGAGAGTACAAGGAAGACATTTGTGGATAATTCCCTAGCATTTATCACTATAGACCTGAGAGCAAACAGTGGTCTTTAGATAGTTCATTATGCTTCCCAAATTTGTTAGGAAAACTTGTTTGAGCTGATCCCATTGAGCTTTTCCCTCCATAGCGTTAAATTAATTTCTTTTTGGTACTGGGAAATTGAACTCAGGACCCCGCGTTTGCCAGGCAGGCACTTATGCCCCTGAGCCATATCCCCGGCCCCATAACGTTAAACTAAAAAAAAAAAAAAAAGAAAAAGAAAAAAAGGAACACAAGCTAAAAATGCAGTTTCAACAGGTGCTATCTTGGAAAATCCGAGACGAGGAGGTGATCGACAATAAATCAGGCTGGGCATTTTGGACGTTTAGATTCCCGATAGTTAAGCTCCTCCATACATTTCCTGTAGGCACTCAGTCTGGGATCACAGATGGCAGGATACTACAAGATATTGTGGTTGAAAAGAAGAAACTCTGCCAGTTTTCAAGATGGTCCGGATTCGCCTAATGACTTCCCCCCGCCCCCGACCTGCCTCCGGAAGCAACATGGCGCTTTCCCTCAGCACCTCTCCAGATTTCCATTACATGTAGTCTGGTACAGGCAGGGCATCTTTTGCCATCATCCAAGATGGCGAGCCATGCGCCCCCAAGGTTTCCAGGTTTCAAAATGGCTCCCCAAACCCGCGCCGCCGAGGAGGTTAATCTCGGGAACAGAACCGAAGGCTAGTGGAAGTGACGAAGAGGAAGCAATCGCGCATCGGAACCCCGCCCCTAACCCTAAGCCCCGCCCTCAGCGGCGCACAGAGCGGAGCCAAGATGGCGGCTGAGTTGGAGTATGAGTCTGTGCTGTGTGTGAAGCCGGACGTCAGCGTCTACCGGATTCCACCCCGAGCCTCCAACCGCGGCTACAGGTACTAACCCCGAGACTGCCGCACACGCTCACCCGTGGGGGATGACGCTTGTCGCCTTAGGTAGCATGCTGCCCGCTCCAACCATTGCCACCGATGGGCTGTCACCTAGCTAAGCCACCCTTCTCTCAGAGTCCTCTTTCCTTGCTTCGCTTTCACTCTGGACTATAGCTGTCCTTGTTTCCACTCTTTGAAATTTTTCTTCTGTTTTATTTATTTTTGTTACCACTCTGCATCATCCTACCTCTCCTCCCCCACATCCCTGGGGACATCCATCTGCTCCCCGTCAGGCGCATCCATTCATGCCTGCTTCTTCGCCAGCCACTTCCCTTCGTTCTTCCCTACGTCCTTCAGCTTGCAGTCTTCATCACACGTCCGTTTCCAAGTCCTCGTGCACACTCCTGGTTAATCATTGTGTTGCTGGTCACTGTTTGGATGATGTAATTTAATTCTCTGTACTGTTGTCATTTTTGCCATTGATATCATCATTCACCATTCGATCTTCTTTTTTTTTTTTTTGCCAATAGGCAAAGGTTATATGTTTGCCAATTGTTGCTCATTACATTTCTTTTCATTATTTTTTTTTTTTTTTTGCTTATATAGTATTTTTTGTTTTCCCTCACTATCCCTTTAACCTCTCCTTTAGTATTTCCTCTGAAGCTAACGCATTTTCTCTGCAGGGCCTAACAAACCTTGTAATCCCTTGACTGTGAGGGAGCTGAGGACGTTACAGACGTTTGGTAATTGAAAGAGACTAACCCTGGCCACTTAATAGCTGTATAATGTGGGAGCAGTTCTCAGCCTTTCCAAGCCTTAGTTTTCTCATCTGTAAAATAGAAAAAAAATAAATGCTAGTATCGTATTCTTATGGATCTCACAGGGGATTTGGGAGAGTAAAATGAAATCGTATACTGGATATGAAAGAATGTAGGATACATTAAAACATTATAATGTTTTTATTTGTCTTTTGGACCCATATCACCATGATGATTTTTCTTGTGGTATTTGTCATTATCTTGGCTGAAATGTTATTTTCTGCTTGTGTTCATTTTGCCTGTACCAGAGGCGCATTCATCACAAATCTGTATCTTTGTGCTTGCAGACCTATGCACTAGGCCTGGTGAATTGTACCTCTTGACAAAGGAGATAGTTCTACCTTTAGAAAGCTAGCAGTCAGACCCCGAATTGACTGTGAGTAGCAACTAGAATGCTTTTTGGTCATGGGCACTACATAATTATGACTCACCTTAGGCAACACGTTTTTTGGGAAGCTCTGACATTCTGGTTTAGGAATTGTCTCTGTGTGCTTCTGTAGCCCCCTCTGCTTGTCTCTGTCATTGTGCTCTTCATTCTGTACTGTAATGGATTGTTTAGTCTCTTTCGTTGAGCAGACTCTGAACAGAGTGAGTTCTTTTTTGACTTTGTACCACTCGGGTCTAGCGCATTGTCTGGCACATGGTGAGTACTCTTAAGTGTTCACTGAGAGAAGAAATTAGATAATGCAGATCAGCCTAATTACATAACATCAATCAAATTGCTAAAACAGGTAAAAAAGCTCATGATTTCAAACCTTCTACGTATTTCCAGCTTTTTTTTCTGTTTTGTTTTTTTGGGAACTGAACTCACGACCTTGAGCTTGCCAGGCGGGCGCTTTTGCCGCTGAGCTAAATCCCCAGCCCCTAGCTCAGTGGCAAAAGCACCTGCCTGGCAAGCGCAAGGTCCTGAGTTCGGTTCCAAAAAAAAAAAAAAAAAAAAAAACCTGCTCATAAATCCCCAGCCCCTTCCAGCTTTTAATAATACCTCATTCTTTTACTTGTCTGCACTCTCAACTTTGACTTCTAGTTTACTCATAGCCTTTTGTATTAAGTGCATTGGCCTTATTAAAGCAAGTTCTTAATTTTTCTTTTATTCTTTTTCCATTACCGTCCTGTGTTTTCCCTACTTCTTATTGGCATTTCTTAGTTTTGAACAGGCATTTTTAGATACTCTTTTAGTGTAGTAAATGAACAGAACAGTTTGACTTCATTTATTTACTGGGTTACCTTTGGCAAATCACTGAATTCTTCTGAGCTTTAGTTTTTTCATCTATAAAAACTGATCTAGCCGGGCGTGATGGCGCACGCCTGTAATCCCAGCACTTGGGAGACTGAGGATCATTGCGAGTTGGAGACCAGCCTGAGCTACAAAGTGAGCTTAAGTCCAGCCTGAACTACAAAGTGAGCTTAAGTCCAGCCTGAACTGCATAGTGAGACCCTGTTTCAAAAAAGACAAAAAAAACCCCCAAATAACAAACAGATCTAACCAATACCTTTTAAAGAGCCTATCACTTAATTTTCCTAAGAATGGTCATAATGCCTAGTAGACATACGATAAATGTCTTTCTCTTCTGTCCTTCCTATTTCTGTCCCTGCTGCACCCACCCCCGTGTGTGTGTGTGTGTGTGTGTGTGTGTGTGTGTGTAGTAGGGATTGAACTCAAAGCTTCATGTGACATGCTGGGCAAATGTTCTACCAGTGAGCCACATCCCCAGCCAATAAATGTTATTTTTCTGTCTTTTTATCTGGTTTTTTTTTTTTTTTTAAATCTTTTTAGCCTTTCTTGCTTTTTACCAGAACCCATTTTATTCTGTGAACATTATTTTATTTTATTTTTTCCTGTACCGGGAATCGAACTCATGACCTCCCACTTGCCAGACAGGTACTGTGCCGCTGAGCTAAATCCCAAGCCCCCTGTGAACATGATTTATTCTATAGGCTGCCATTAAAGGATGAACTGGGATTTTTGGCAAGCAGAGGACTCTTTCCTTTGAGTGACTAATAAGATCAAAGAGATTAAGTGACTTTGATTTGCCTAGTACAAACTGTTAATTTCTTTCTTTTTTTTTGGATTGGGAATCGAACTTAGGACCTTGCACTTGCTGGGCAGGCACTGTGCCACTGAGCTAGATCCCTGTCCCCCAAACTGCTGCTTTCTAAACTTGCACTAACCAGAATTTTAGATCATGAGGACAATTTATATTGATAAGAAAACTTACAAAGAGTAGAAAATGATTTTTCCAATCTATAAAACTAATAAAAAATTTATCACTGTTGTCCCCTTGCTAATCAGTATTAAACTTTGTAGTGTGTGTTAATGGAATACAAAGAATACTAAACTTTAAAATGAACCATTATTACTGTGGTATTGTTTTTTCAGGAGATGGGGAAACAGGGTTTTCATGGCTGCTGTCAGGGTTTAATAAAATATATCTGTGGAATCTCACTGTGATTCATAATGATTCATACATGAAGCTTTTTTGCTAAGGTAAATGAACAGTTCTTCAGGCAAGATTTTGGAGTGGGAGATGTACTGATGGCCCAAGGCTAAGGGAAATTGTTGCTGTGAGTGTCCATTCAGTTACTGAGAAATTTTTAAACATTAGGCACTAGGTACACAAGATAAAAAAAAAAATCTCTCTGAAGAAACACATCCAGTGGGCTTGTTCTCATGTTTTCAACTGTCCACTTGGGCTTGTATCTAGGGTAAGCATGAGTGTTATGGCTAGCATAAGCAATAGCTTCTTAAAAATTAGTAGGTAGAGACTTGCAGATCTGGATCAGAATCAGGGTACTTGAAGGTGTTTGAGAACAGAGCATCAAGAAGAAGGAAGGGAATGACAAGGATTTATTTACAGATCCTGTTCAAAACCTCTGCTGGCTTTAGTTTTACTTTCCTTTCAGCCTTTTGCTTACTATCTTACTAAACTCATTCTTGCTCAGAGATACTTGATTGGTAATTTTCTAGCCTGTGAGTATCAGTCTTAGATTCTTAAGGGGTGAGTTATTAATAATTTAATTTGCCCTTCCCTCTTTGTGCTTCTGGCAAAACAAATGCAGTCACAAATGCAGTGTCTTGTAAAACTGGTCACAAGCAGTGTTTTAGGTTTCATTCAGATTCACGTACGCACAGATTGTAAGTGTTCCATGTGTTGTAATGTTTTCATGGACATTTGTGTCTGCATTCCAGATGTCTTTCCTGAACTCTCATCTCTTACGTTCACTTTCCTGTCCTACCTCTTGTCTTGAAAATTCATTAGACCTGTCAAACTCAGTGTATTCAGAACTGATCCCCTGACTTTTCTTCCTAGATATGGTCCACTTAAGGGCTTTGTTTCAGTTACTGGCAACTCTTCTGTCAGGCTGAAAGCCTTGGAGTCATCCTTGACTTTTTTCTTTTCTGCCATACACCTAGCTAATCTATTAAAAAAAATTCTGCTGCTTTTACCTTACGTACATCCAGAACCTATCCAGTTTCTGGTACTGTCTTTTCTAAGTCATCAGCATGACTCACTTAGATTGCTACGGTAGTCTAACTAATCCTCCTGCCTTAGCCATCTTGTCCCTACATCTTTTTTCCATACAGCAGACAGAATAATCCTTAGAAATGGTAGGGAGATCAGGTCACATATCTGCTTACCCCCCCCTTTGACTCAGGAAAGGGTGAAGTATTTTCATGGCCTACAAGGCCTTGCATTGCCTGGCACTCTGTTACCTTTGCTACTTGGTCTCTTACTCTGTTCCAAGCACAGTGATTTCCTTGATGTCCCTTAACATGCCAGGCGTGCTCCCTCCTCAGCCCCGTGTGCACTAGCTGTTTTCTGTATGGAGAAGGTGTTTCCTCAGGAAAATGTGTGGATAATCATCTCACTTGCTCCTCATTTTTGTGCACATTTCACCTTCCTAATGAGGCCTACCCTGACCTTCCTGAATGCTGCTGTCCGATACTCCTACTGCCCCCCGCATTTCTTTACCTGCTTCTTCATTTCCCTTTTACCTTAGTATTTATAACCTTCTGAGATACCAATTATGTTAATTATTATTATTTTTTATTACCTGTTTCCATTGGAATGTAAGCCTCACAAGTAGAAGAATGTTTTGTTTGCCATTGTATCCGAAGTGTCTAGAGTAGAACCTGTGGCTTAGGAAGAGCTCTGCAGTTTAGGGAGAATCTCGTACAAAATAAAAATAAAAATAATAAAAACAGGCTGCAGGAGTGTAGCTCAGTGTAAAGGCCCTGGATTGAATTCTCAGCCCTGAAAACAAAACAAAACAAAATCTCTGTAAATATTGATTGAATTCAGTGAAAGGTAATAATATGTTTAGTGATTTTTACTCTGAACATTTCATTTGGTAGGTAGATTTTATTATTGCCTGCTCAGTAAAACGTCATTATGTAGACTGTCCTGTACAGTATGAAAATAGCATCATTATGAGAAAGTTTATTTTTAAAATTTTTAGTTAAAATTTTTTTTTTAATGGTGCTAGGAATTGAACCCAGAGCCTTACACATGCTAGGCAAATTCTCTACTGTATACCCCAGCTCCAACCAATTTTACTTTGAAATTTCTGATTTTTTTTTTTTTGTACCGGGAATCGAACTCAGGATGTTGCGCTTGCCAGCCAGGCACTTGTGCCGTTGAGCTATATCCCCAGCCCTTAAAATTTCTTTTATTTGTACTTTTACATGTTTTTATACTTGTCAGATTCTAAAGTCCTCCACTACTAACCTTGATTTTTACTTGCTTTGGACTATATGTAACGTGACACGTGTATGAGGCGACCATGAATTATTCTTATTTACTATGTAGGAAGAATGGGTGACTCCAGACAGGGGAATGGAACTGTGGCAAATGATTCTGAGAAGGCTTTAGTACATTGAAATGCACCTGAAGGCTGAGGCTTCCCATTTTCCTGTCCTAGGGCATCTGACTGGAAATTAGACCAGCCTGATTGGACTGGTCGCCTCCGAATCACCTCAAAAGGGAAGATTGCCTATATCAAACTGGAAGATAAAGTTTCAGGTAAAGTGCAGGTGACTGCCTAAGGTATCAAGGATATTGGTTTGGAATGCTTTTATAAGTGCCTTCAAGTTGGTGACTGGAATGGAAATAGCTGTTTCTGTTAGAAAAACTTTAGAAAAAAAATTAGAATTCTAGTTTTTGCTTTCTTTGCTCAGAGAGCTTCTTTTTCTTGTCTGTCAGGGGAGCTCTTTGCTCAGGCACCAGTAGAACAATATCCTGGTATTGCTGTGGAGACAGTGACGGATTCCAGCCGTTACTTTGTAATCAGGATCCAGGATGGTACTGGTAAGGGCTCTGGGATTTTGAATGGGATGGAGTTAGGGAAATAGTCAATGTACTGCACTTTAATAAAATTGTGTCCTTATTGCATTTCTCTTATTTCTGTTTAATAAAATTGCTTCCCCTTTCTCTGAAGTTGTTATGGTTGCTGACAGAGAAGGATTAATGTGTTGTTTGTAATAGATGTGAACACAAGTTTAAGATGTGGTAATTAGTAGATAGAGCTTAAGTAAACCAAATGCCTGTCAGAAGAATTAAGACATTTTGTTCATTTATTGTTTATGGTGTTTTTTGGTGGGACTGTCTTCAATTATCAGTAACTCTCAGTCATTTGTTCATAGTTTATAACAGAGGCTGGCAACCAGAGACAGAAAAATAATAAATATTTTAGGTTTGTGGGTTATATAGTCTATATTGAAACTAGTGTACTTAGTTCTGTTACTGTACTGTGAAAATAGGTATACACAGTATATAAGCAGATTGGTATGTCTTTGTCAATAAAGCTTTATTTAAAAAACAACCTGTGGCAGGCTTTGACCATGGTTTGTATGTAACTTGCCAATTCCTGATCCATGAAAATATGTATATTTTTTGTCTTTTTGAGACAGGGTCTTGCTGTGTAGTGCAGGCTAGCCTTGAACTCACTTATGTAGCCCAGGCTGGCCTCAAACTCACATCAGTCCTCCTGCCTCAGCCTCCAGAGTGCTGGGATTATAGGAGTGCACTACCATACTCAGCTGTAAAAAGATGTTTTACCATCACAAATGTTTATCTAGTTGGGGAGTTGTCATATTTTCACTGGGCAGAAATTTTTACGGGGAACCTTTCCTAGTCTGTCTGTTCCCGTCTTTTTCTTAGGGCGCAGTGCGTTTATTGGCATTGGCTTCACGGATCGCGGAGATGCCTTCGACTTTAACGTTTCCTTACAAGACCACTTCAAGTGAGTAAAGCTTGTCTTTTGTTACTAAGTTAAATGTCGTGGGTACTGCTTCTCTGTTGAATGGGCACTGTGTCTTTTACCCCCTGGTTTCTTTATTGAGTAAACTAGCTCATGGTGAATGTAAATCTCCCAGTTCATCTGTGTTTCCTTAACTTATCTCTGTATTTCCCTGTTTCCTTTCTGCAGAACTGATTATGGTTTTAAACCTTGCTCATTGGCTTGTTTATGCCTCTGGAGAATTTGTCATTCTTTTAGGTAGTGGGGGAGGCGTGCCGTAACAGCAGGCTGCATGCAAGTGTGTGGGGAGTTATACGCCAATTTTGTTAGTGTATGGAACTGATGAGTTTTATGCGTGTTTCTTGAGCTCACCTGATTTTGCTGCAGCAGTGGTGGTCAGCACCATGCATATCATCAGCTTCCTCCTGGCACAGGCACACCTCTGCTTTTCTGCTTCAGGACTCTCAACTTGTGGAAGGCATCTCAGTTAGCACAAAGTGTAAGCTGCAGGGATTAAGGCACTAATGTCCACTCTAGGCAGCCCTCAGCCATGGGGAGGGGAGTCGGTGGCTAGAGGCCCTCTTTTTCTGGTGTTGCTGGGGATAAAACACAGGGCTTTGCACATGCTAGCCAAGTGCTTTACCACTGACCTATACCCTTTGCCCCTTTACAGAAGGACAAATCTAATGGGCATTTTGCTTGGTTCCCCAGTGGGTCCTCAGTGAGCCTGAACCCTGATTGGCCTCTTGCTTTTTAAGTAGATTTTCTTTTTCACTCTTCATGGTCTCTCACTCTGCTTTCTGGAATCCCATATCATATAAACTGAATGTACCCAGATTTGTGTGTCAAAATTTGCTTTTAGGGAATCCTAAACTAAGATCACATACTGTTTCCCAAAAGGTGGGTAAAGCAGGAAACTGAGATTTCCAAAGAATCGCAGGAAATGGACAATCGTCCCAAGTTGGATCTAGGCTTCAAGGAAGGACAGACCATCAAGTTAAGTATTGGGGTGAGTACGGTTTTTTAAAATTTTATTTTCTTGTTCATTTTTTTGTTATGGGTACGATGCTGGGGCTGTAACTCCCAGCCTTGTGCATGCTAAGCAAGTGTCACCACTAAGCTGATCCCTGTCCTACTTTTCTGTTTTTTTTTTTTTTTGTCTTTTTGAGACAGGGTCTCGCTAAGCAGTTCAGACTGGCCTTGAGCTCACTTTGTAGCCCAGGCTGGTCTCGGCCTCGCAAGGATTCTCCTGCTTCAGCCTCCCAAGTGCTGGGATTACAGGTGTGCGCCACCACACCTGGCCTTTTCTGTTGTTTTATAAGCCTGTGACATCTTTCCTTTTCTTTTACCCTCCTTGTTTTTGCAGAACATTACAACCAAGAAAGGAGGTGCTTCTAAGCCCAGGACTGCAGGAACTGGGGGCCTCAGCTTACTTCCACCGCCTCCCGGAGGCAAAGTCACTATCCCCCCACCATCCTCAGTCGCCATCAGCAATCATGTCACCCCACCACCCATTCCAAAGTCTAACCATGGAGGTAGCGATGCAGGTAAGTCTAACACTTCCAACTTTGGCAAATCACGTCCTGATTTTAATTGGGTAACACCTCTTTGCCAAGGAGAGTACTGATGTTTTCACCAGGAGATGGTGCTTGGTGTTGACAAGACGATTCTGGCAAGGGATCAGAGCTTTTCTGGCAAACAGAGTCATGGTTCCTACTAGGTTCTTTGGCAGATAATACGTTGTTGTTAGGAAGATTATTCCTTCATTGTTTATTAGTTAGATGCTAGTAGGTGTGTGAGTCAGACGGATGCAGATTGTGGTCATGGCTGTAAGCATTTATATCTGAACACACTTGGTAAATATGATTTATATTTTTTGACTCTCCATTTTCTTATCTGCAGAATGGTTATGTAAAACCGTCCTAGGATGGTAAGGTCAAATGATTGAGAGCACCTAGCTTGGCTCTTGGAACACTGTACCCAGTTAGTGTCCCCCCCGCCCCCCGGTACCGGGAATTGAACTCACGACCTTGTGCTTGCCAGGCAGGCACTGTGCCGCTGAGCTAAATCCCTAGCCCCTCTTCTTTCTCTTTTTCTTTCTCTTTTTCTTTCTCTCTTCCTCTCTCTCTCCCTCCGTCTCCCTCTTTTATGTTCTTTCTCATTCTCTCTATTTTCTTTCACTTATTCTTTCTCTTCTTCCCTTTGCCTCCTCCTTTTATTGTCTTTCTCATTCTCTGTATATCCTTTCACTTATTCTTTCTCTGTCTGAGGATTAAATCTAGGGGCTCATACATGCTAAGTTAGTGCTCTGCCTTCAACCTTAACGCTGTTTCTTAGTCTGTTCCATTTCTTCTGGACAGTGATTGGGAGAAAAGAAGACACCTAGGCTTGTATTCTTCCTTTCAGTGTGGTGGAAAAAAGAACTCAAAGAGAGCTGAGAGTATTAGAACTTAAAGGAGTTTTCCTAAGATTAGAGAACCAGATTTAGAAACTGGGAGCTTTAACTTGATGTCTTGGACAATGCAGCCATTTTTTTTTTTTTTTTTTGTACCGGGAATTAAACTCAGGACCTTGCGCTTGCCAGGCAGGCACTTGTGCTGCTGAGCTATATCCCCAGCCTCTCCATTTTTTGAATTGATTGCTAAAGGTAAGCTTTCTCTTCATAGAACTTTTGAGATGAAAATACAGCCTACCTCTATTGGTATGTGTCACCAGAAGGTTCTAGGGATAGTATCTAAGATTTATTTTATTTTTTTGGAACCAGGAATTGAACCCAGGATCATGTGCATGCCAGGCAGGTGCTGTGCTGCTGAGCTATATCCCTGGTCCCTAAGATTTATTTTTTAAATTAAACTTTTTGAGCTCATTGTAGATTTACATGCAGTTGTAAGATGTGTTACAAAGAAATTCTGTGTGTCCACTGATACATTTCCTTCAGTGGTCACATCGTACAGAAGTGTTGTTGAGTGTGGTAGGACATAGACAAGCCATCCTCCGGTCTTGCTCAGATTTCATCTGTTTTACATGTTGTCATTTGTATGCGTGTATTTCTGTAGGCCTCGGTGGTCTCTCGGTGGTCCCAGGGAGAAAATGGGAGAGGATTTAGAAAATAAAGACAAGGAACAAAAGCTGGGGTCAGGTGGAGTGGCCTCTTACCTGATGGACAAGAGAACTGAACTACAATAGTAGGGGCGTTTATTTACACACTTGCAAAGTTAGTATCGCGAAAGGTAATGTTGCCTAGTGACTAGCGACTGTAATTGTCCAGGCAGGAAGCTTTTCTCAAGACTGAGGTAGCTCGACTGCTTGAGGCACTCTGGCTCTGTCCTGCCCTCACACATATGATCAATTTCCAGCTCCAACTGCTCCCAACAATTTCTTCAGTTTTATTTTTTTATTTTATTTTTTTTTTGCAGTACTGGAGATCGAACTCAGGAACTTGCGCTGGCCAGGCAGGCGCTTATGCCACCGAGCTATATCCCCAGCCCTTTTCTTCAGTTTTATGCACCTTTATCGTCACTGTGTTTATGGATCAACCATCATAGGCTACAGAATAGTTCCTCCTCTACAAGGATCTTTTGTTTTGCCCTTTTATAGCCACACCTGTTCCCTCCCAGGTTTTCTTTCCCCATCCCTAACACTTTGTGACCAGTAGTCTATTATAACTGTTGCTTCAGGAAAGTTTTGTAAATGAGGTCATACAGTGTATAACCTTTTGGGATTGCTTTTTTTCACATAGTGAAGTTCTCCTGAGATTTACCCAAGCTGTTGAGTATATCATTAGTTTGTTCCTTTATATTATGAGTACGATTCTATAATATGGGTTACCACAGATAAGTGTGGTTAACTACAACCTTAGAAGGACATCTGGATTTTCAGTATTTGGTTTTTACTAATAAAGCTACTCTGATATTTATGTATAGGCTTTTGTATATGTTTTCGTTTATGGGATGCTTAGGATTTCTTGTTTTCTTTTTTCTCCTTTTATTTTGTGTTCAGATATCCTTTTAGATTTCGATTCTCCTGCTCCTGTCACAACACCAGCACCAGCTCCAGTTTCTGCAAGCAATGACTTGTGGGGAGACTTCAGTACCGCATCCAGGTAGTGGGTGGGGGAAACTAGCACATTGTCATTCAGGGTGGAGAAGATTTGCACAATTGTGTTAAACTTTGATCTGCGACAGGGGGATTTGAAGATTGTAATACAGTTGTTTGAAGTTCTTGGGAGGGAAATGGAGGAGTATTTGGGAGGTTGAAGTGTGAATGGGAGATTTTGGGTCTTGGTAAGTAAAATTTCTGATACATAGTCTAAGGAATTCTGGATGTAATTTCTCGGAAACTCTTTGGTAAGGAATATAGTGGTTATCTTAATATTGTGTCTTCGGATTTCTCTGTGTTTTCCTGTTTTGCAGTTCTGTTCCAAACCAGGCCCCGCAGCCATCCAACTGGGTCCAGTTTTGAGTAGCATTGGTGGGACATCAAGTATAGACTTGAAGAATAAAGACGACCTCGAGGGCACCAATCTTTGAGGGAGGTTAGGAACCCTTTCTCCTCCCCAGAACCAAAATTAATGGACAATCTTTTTCATAGCTTCTCCATTGTATTCAGGCTGATGTATGTCACTCCCCTACGTGTTACTTGCTGTGCGGCCAAGAAAGCTCTGTTGTGTCCTGCTCATTACCCTGGCAGGGGGTAGTGGATCTTGTCATACCTGTGGCTGACTGCGCACGGTGCAGAAGGCCAGTGGCTTCTTCAGAGGGGAGTGACCTCTAACGTTTGTAAAGATTTTGCCCATCTTCTGAACTCTTGGGCTTATTTCAGAATCATCTCATGACCCTGTGTACCCCTTTGTAAAGCCCTCTTCACCAATTTCAGGGGAAAGAAAAGCTTGAAACTTTCTTTTTCCTTAACCCAAGACTCTAAAAATGTATAGGCTGACGTCAGTATTTACAAATGTCAGAATTTTGAAGCCTGGACTACGTAGTGACTTCAAGACCAGCCTGAAAATACATAGTCAGACCTGTCTCAGAAAAGAAGAAGAGAAGAATATGGGTAGAGGCAGGTTTGGAGAAAGCTCTGTGTCCTGGGTCTCTTGTTTCCAGCCTCCTTCAGGCTTCCCCCGTTCAGTGAACAGTGAACATCCAGTCCTGGGCGCAGCTCCGTTACCCTCTTGAGTGTTTACATGTCTCTTCCTGAGATGAAAGGGTTGTGTCGGTAGCGCTGCCACTATTCTTTGGTGTTTTTTGAATAGTGCAACATGTTCGAGCAGTGGGTGTTTCTCAGATGGAGGAGGCTCAAGGGGCTGTGCTTTCCAAATTATACAAGTGTTGAATTTCTTGCAGCACCATCTGGTTGCTGCATTGGAAGCACAGCATTCATTTGTAGTCACCCTTTCATTTGACTTAAAATTGAAGAGTTAGAGTTTTTAACCTAATCAGTAGAGCAGAGAGGTTGAAAGCACTTAACTCTCATTCAGTACCCACATTGCCTTGCTGCCTGGGTATCTGACCTCTTTCCATAAACATTTCTTTTCTAATCCATCTGACTCTTCAGTAGAAAGCTGCTATTACATATATTGTCATTTATGAAGGAAGTTGGGGAGTTACAGTTTTCTTTCCGACAGGTTTTGTTTCAGGCTTTGATACCCTCTAGCAAAAGTATCTTCAAAGCAAGTTGCTGCCCTACCATTTCCTTTCCCTCTGCCCCACCATTCCTTTTACAGTGCTGTGAAGAGAGTTCCCTGTCTTAGGGATTATTATTAACTTAACCTATCTATTTTGTTCGTTAATGGACTGTTTGGAGGATTAAATGGAAAGATATAATTTCTTCCCTTAGTAACTATTTGAGTATGTACATTCTGATTGAAGGGGGTAAGTCCTTCTATTTAGTTTCAAAATACATTGTTTCTCCTGGATTTCCTTCTCAGCTTTTTCTAACTTTGGGTCCATTTTTTTCATTGCCTCCCCTTCCAGGCAGCTCTAATTCTTGCAGAACCATGGCAGGACATTTTAAAATTTCACTAGAAAACACTAAAGAAAAGTCTGTAGAATCACTAGTGACTACTGGGAACCTATTTTTCTCAATCTTCCTCCATGTTGTGTTCTTTGTATTCTCAAGATGATAATATATTATGTATTTGAATTGCTGAAAAATTGAAAATGAAGTTAAGGTATATGTATATAAAGCAGATGCTGTATTGGTGCAATAATGGTAATTAAAATATAGAAAAAGGTGCTGTTTCTTTTATCTTTTGTCTATTTAATTACCTTTTAAATTTAATTGACCCAATACAAACAGGCAATAAAAGGGTAATAAAATGACATATATATGTATTACTCAGTTTTGAGAAAGAGGACTTTTAAGAAATTGAGACTGGACTTCTGCTCATGGTTTTAAACCAACAGAGTGCCCCTTAAAGTACATAATGATTTATTATTTATTCGCTAGTGTAGTTAATTTCATTTGAAGATAGAGATAGGATTAAAGTCAGAGTCATAGACTGGAAATTAGAGAAGATCTTAAGAGATTTAGTGATACAGAAGATGAATCAGAATAATAATATAACCTACTTTACAAAAAAGTTCTTTAAACTGAAACAAAAGTTGCTAGTTAGTAACATGTAAATGTGTGAAAATATAAAATAACTCACTTGACCAGAACTTCGGGGAAGATGGTAGAGTAGTGAACAGCAGAGAAAGAGCCTGAGATTTGGTGTCCAGATGGTGGAATATAGCAATGTGAGGAAGAGAAGAAGGAGGGAAGTGGGTCCTTGGGACCTAACAAGGATCTGAAGCAAGAATTGAAGGCCATGGGGAGAGTGAACAGAGACTTCAATGAAGAAGGAGGTGGCAGGCGGCACTTTCACCATGAGCCTGAGTCACTGCCTGGGAGGGGCAGCTCAAACCTGCAGATACATGGTGACTACTGGTGGTCCTGGATGCCTCAGTGTAAAAACGCACCAGTGGAACAGGGTAGGGGATGCAGTGGACTGCATTGGCTGGTGAGTTCTTTGGGTTCTCATGTCCCCCAAGAGAGGGCGACTGGCTGGTGGTCATCATAGAGAGAGAACAACTGAGCTTGGGACTCAGAGTGGCTGCAGGCTGGCTCCATGTAGTGGCTGCCAGTGTCAGTGTGAGGCAGAACCGAGTTCAAGTCGTCGGGAAATCAAGGAACCCAGTTCAAACTAAAAGTTGAGTTCAAGCTGGGAGGAGGTACACAGAGTGTTGCAGGCTGAACAAATCAGGTTCCAGCCTCACATCCAGGAACCAGCCTGAACTTCAGTGGAACTAAAGGTAGAGGCTTGTTGGGATTGTCTACTACCTGCTATAAAGCTACTGGCTTGCTGGGATTAAGCAGATAGGATCTGGACTCTATCTGCCCACTTTGGCTACCAGTGACAGAAGAGGTATGTCTTGAAGTGGACATTTTTTTCTTGTTTTTATTTTTTATTGATCTTGTTTTTATATGACTGTGAACATTGTTTCTAGTTATTTTGCTCTGTTCTGTTTTTTATTTCTTTTTTCTCTTTCCCTTCTGGCTTCATCAGTTTCCCAAAGTGTGCATAATCTTCCTTTGTCCTCCATCTTTGCTTCTAATCTCTTCTATTTCTCTATCCCTCCCCCAGCCCCCAATCCCTTATAAATTTCTCCCCTGAGGGTAAACTTGCCATACTGAGGATAATTTACTCTGTACAATTCCTGGTTTGTTTTAGATTTTGTTATATAACCGCAAATCTAGTTCATATGTTTTAAAGGTGACAAAGTAAAGGTTACCACTGTTATTTTCTGGGATGTGTTTAATGCTGCTGTTATCACTGATTATACTATTTTAGCTGAGGTGACATAATTGTTCTAGTCAGTAGTTCTTCTTGGTATGCCAAGACTATGATTGCTTAAGGGTCATAAAAAAAATACTATAGGCCAGTGCCAAAGAACTAGGAGCTAGGCCAAAGAGGCAGCAACTTCTCATCTGTAATAAATTGCAGAGGCATTTTCTTGCAGTAGACTCAAAACCCAAAAGGAAGACATCTCTGAGAAGTAGTCATTTCCTAAGGGTTCTAAATACTATCAGTAAAGCTGTTTGCCATAACCAGTTTATAAGCATCAACCCAGGAGTTAAACTAAAAAAAAGACAGGAAATGAGAAGATAAACAAGATGCAACCCTAGACTTCCAGCTCACCAAAGGCAAACATAGCAGGTAGTGAGGTGGAACAATCTGGAAACCACTCACCTGGACTCCAGTAACAGTGAAGTAGCAAAGCAGATGAACAAAGAATAAAATCAGAAATAATTTCTCAGATAAGATGGTGACCAAAATGAAAGATATGCTTAGTGACTCTAGAGCAGATACAGACAAAAAAAAAGTAGAGCTTAGGAAAATTTCCCAACATGGGAAATAAACAGAATCAATGAAACGATTCAGATATCCAGGAGATTAAAAATTCCATTTTACTGAAAGTACACTCAGCAAAATGAGTCAGTGGGAGGACAGATATCAGATCTAGAAGACAGGATTGTGGTTAGGGATTGTGAAAAGAAAGATTTAAAAATAGGAAGGGACCGTGAAAGACCCAACAGCTGCTAGATGATGCAAAGAATAATATAATATTGATAGGAAGCCAGGCATGGTGGTGCACACCTGCAATCCCAGCACCTGGGAGCCTGAGGCAGGAGGATCACTGAATTTGAGGCCAGCCTGGGCTACATAATTAGTTCAAAGCCAGCCTGAACTATAGAATGAGACGCTGTTGAATTTCTTCAGGTGTTGTTACAGAACTATCTTATTTCTCTATCAGTTTGGAAAGATAGTTTTCCAGGGTGCATCAGTGTCAGTTGGAGGTTGTTTTTGTTGAGACACACTCTATGTATTCAGGCTAGCCCTGAACTCGTGCACCCTGATCTATGTAGCCTACGCTGGTCTCAAACTCACAATGATAGAGGTTGTTTTCTTTTAAGGCTTGAAATACTC